TCGCGCACCTATGAATGAGGACAGTGGGTGGGGAGTGAGGGCGGAGGGTGGGGTGGGAACTGGGTGGAGGGGAGTTATGGGGGGAAAAAAGAAGAACAAATGTAATAATCTGAACAATAAAGATTTAATTAATTTAAAAAAAAGTGTTTCTTTTCTACACCAAAGAATTCCTCATTTGTTCTTTTTTAAAAAACTATATATATATTTATTCCTTTTAGAGAGTAAGACAGGAGGAGAGAGAGATAGAAACATTAATGATGAAAGAGAATCACTGATCAGTTGCCTCCTGCACACCCCATACTGGGAAGCGAGCCCACAACTCTGGCATTTGCCCTTGAACAGAATCGAAACTGGAACCTTTCAGTCTGAGGGTGTTCTATCCACTGGGCCAAAGCAGCTACGGACCAACGTGTTCTTTGAGAGCAAGAATCTAACACAGAAAGTAGGCCATAGAGATGTTAAAGTAATAAAAGAAACAAAAACCTGCGAGTGGAGTAGGAACTCGGAAAGGAAGTCATCCTTACCCACGGACACCAGGTTGCTGTAGTTCTCCAACATCACATCCAGGTACAATTTCCGCTGAGCTGGGTCCAGGAAATCCCACTCTTCCTGAGAGAAATCTATGGCCACATCCCTGAAAGTCAATGGTCCCTGAAAGATAAGAAACATTTACCAAGAGGTCTAAAGAAGTGTTCACAAAGTCACTCAATATGCAAACAGTGTCAGGAGAAGCAGTTTGGACCTAGGGGAGTATCCTGAATCGGATAACTTTGCCCCAGTAACATTCTCTGATATATGTGCTAACAGTGACAAATGAGGATGACACATGTCCATAGATCCAGGGTTCAGATTTTCCTATATAAGAAAATAAACTTTAAAATTAAGTCATGGCCATAGCTGGTTTGGCTCAGTGGATAGAGGGTGGGCCTGCAGACTGAAGAGTCACAGGTTCAATTCCTGCCAAGGACACAAGCCGGGGTTGCAGGCTCAATGCCAAGTAGAGGTGTATTGGAGGCAGCCGATCACGAATTCTCTCTCACCATTGTTCTCTCTCTCTCTCTCCCCCCATTTCCTCTCTAAAATCAATAAAAATATATTTTTAAAAAATTAATTAAATTAAGGCGTGGATACAAGCATATGGATTTCTGAGTGCTGCATCTGCATCGTTCAGGGCCAGTGGGGTATATTTCTCAGATAGAAATGCAATGATGGGTTGGAGTTTACGGAATTCTTCTCAAGTTGAAGCAAACCACAGCAAAATGAACTTCTGTAAAGACACAGATTCTGATCCAGTTTCTGGGATAGGGCCTGTGTTTCCACGTGTCACAAGCTCACTTTTTATTTCTGATGCCAATGTTTCCAAATCATGTGCCATACTTCTGAATACACAGAAAAAGAAAACACAGTAAATAATTCATAGACAACTTTAAACTAAAAGGTTTTGTTAATGGAATTCAGTTCTCATGGAATAGGACAGATAAGAACCACAATCCCAGTTGGAAATTTACTATATGTAACCTTAGAACAAGATTATTCTACCTGGTCCAACTGGTGTGGCCCCCTGGTTTAGCACAGACCCAAGATGTCATGGGTTTGATATCCAATCAGAAAACACAACAAAATTGCAAGCTCGATCCCCAGTGTGGGGTGTGCAGGAGGCATCTGTTCAATGATTATCTCTCATAACTGATGTTTCTATCTTTCTCTACCTCTCCCTTCCTTTCTGAAATCCATACAAATATACTTGAAAAAAAGAAAAAAAATACTTGAAATAATGTTAACAATTTAGGCACAGAGACACACATACTATAAATATGAAATCAAGATGGTTAGGTGATTCCGTAAATATCATGAATGTATTTGTGTATGATCCCCTTTTTGTTTTTTAAGCCCAATAAGGACAGAAACATTAAGGATACAAAACAAGTTAAGACCTAATGTTTCCTTTGTGTGGTTGTAAATCCTCACTTCCGGATATTTTTTCCATTGAGTTTTGCAGAGTGGGAGGCAGGGAGGTAGAAGCACAAAAGGGAAAGGGTGAGAGACACACACACACACATATCAATGTGAAAGAGAGAGATGCATGGGCTGCCTGCCTACAACATGTACCCAGGACCTACTTGCCCTAAACCAGGAATCAAACCCTCCACCACTAATACACACCAGCCTGAGGAAACTAATTTTTCTTTTCTTTTTTTTCTTTTTTTACAGAGAAGAAGGGAGAGGGATAGAGAGCCAGAAACATCGATGAGAGAGAAACATCGATCAGCTGCCTCCTGCATGCCCCCCACTGGGGATGTGCCCGCAACCAAGGTACATGCCCTTGACCAGAATCAAACCCGGGACCCTTGAGTCCGCAGGTCTACGCTTTATCCACTGAGCCAAACCGGTTCTGGCGGGAACTAATTTTTCTTACTAGTACATTTCTTTCAAAATTTTTATGTATCATTAGTGGAAAGTTATGTTGCAGAAATTTAATGAAACTGAACATACAGTAATAATATCATTCTTGGAAACTTTCTAGAAAATACAAAAAGTGATTATGTAGGATATGTCTCTCATGTGAGTACAGAACAGTGATGGCGAACCTTTTGAGCTCGGCGTGTCAGCATTTTGAAAAACCCTGACCTAACTCTGGTGCCGTGACACATATAGAAATTTTTTAATATTTGCAACCATAGTAAAACAAATATTTATATTTTTTGATATTTATTTTATATGTTTAAATGCCATTTAACAAAGAAAAATCAACCAAACAAATGAGTTCGCGTGTCACCTCTGACACACTTGTCATAGGTTCGCCATCACTGGTATAGAATATAATGAAAAGTTAAAGACTCAAAGTCTGATTGTTTAAAGATCCCATGAAAAAGCCAATGATCTATAGGGAATAAAAGAAAGTCCTTCATTTTCCAAAGCAAACACAAACTAAGAAGAAGAACATTTCCAGATGTGAAGTGATGTTCTTTGCACCATTTTCATTAAACCCCTACTACACCCTTGTTCCTGAGAAAGGGAGACTATTAACTCTACAGTGAAGGGAGCATCTCTGCCACGTGATTATCAGGTGGACTGAGACCATAGGCATCAGGTGACTGAGGCACACGGAAAGTCAGGTCATCACTGCTGTGACATTACTGCCAAAATACCTCAATGAAGAAATCATTATGTGGAAATGATCACAAATTAACATAACATTCTTGTGTCAACCCACAGGTACCTCTCATGTTCTGTAAGCTAACAGTACATTTAAGTACCAAAACTTTCGCCCTAACTTAGTGAGCAAGTCTCTTCTATTTACTATTTACTCTTCATTAAGAACTTGCTGAGCTATTCTGAGGAGTAAAATGTGCATTTTCTTACTCCTGATCATGAGCTGATGCTGCAGCCACTTGAACCTAAAACCTACCTTTCCCTTCTTCAAGACACAAGAGGCTCTGATCCCATCCCAAAAGGGATTAGATATGGATGCCTTCCCAGGTGGATCTGTCATAAAAGGGATGTTTTGAGTAGTTGAGAGTCATTAATTAAAGGTGGGAATGCTTCCTGACCTTGTGGAGGCTGCATAAAATGAAGGCAGAGAAGGCTCTGGGAAAAAGGAGAGAAATATAGCTGGGCCAATGAGGCTCAGAGGTAGAGTGTTGACCTCTGAGCCAGGCGGGCGGGGTTCCATTCCTGGTCAGGGCACACTCCAGGTTTCAGAATTGATCCCCAGTGAGGTGTGTGGAAGAGGCAGCTGATCAATGATTCTGTCTGCTCATTGATGTTTCTACCTCTCTCTCCCTCTCCTTTCTATTCTGAAATCAATAAAAACAAATACTAAGAAAGAGAAAGGGAAATTTAGAAACTGTTGGTGTTGAAAGTCACAAGAAAAATGGAAGGAAATAAGGAAAGGAAAACAACCTGCAAAGGCAAGAACAACAGAAGTAGAGAAATACGGAAGAGAGGAAGGAGCCCCAGAGAGATGAAGGGGAGCTAAGAGGGAGAGAGGTCCTGGTGAACAGAAGTGGGGGCAACAAAGGGGAGGCACTTCAGACAGATCAGTTCAGAAAGAAGAATTGGGGGAGCAAGAGCAGGGACAGCAAGGGGGGTTTAGGGTTGACAAACTAGAGGGAAAAGCAGCACTGAGAATGAGCTAGCTGTAGGTAACAGGACAGAG